TTTTTCTTAAACTCAATAAATTTAATAAGAATGAGCCATCAACTGATGGCATAGTAACAACTATTGTATTTCAAACTGTTGGTAAAGACTACAGCAAATGGAAAGAACAGACCAATCTTGACTGTATGAATAACAAAAAAGAAAATATAATAAAGATATATATACAATACCGTAATCAATAACAAATTACACCAAGTGTTGATTGGCAATAATCGCTAGAATTTTGCCTATGTCTTTAGTACGAAAATGTAAATTTGCTAATAATTTTTACCAGATATTTTTTCTTAAACTCAATAAATTTAATAAGAATGAACCATCAACTGATGGCATAGTAACAACTATATTGTATTTCAAACTGCTGGTGAAGAATGCAGTAAGTGGAAAGAACACACCAATCTTGACTGTATGAATAACAAAAAAGAAAATATAATAAAGATATATACACAATACCGTAATTAATAACAAATTACACCAAGTGTTGATTGGCAATAATCGCTAGAATTTTGCCTATGTCTTTAGTATTAAGAAAATGTAAATTTGTTAATAATTTTTACCTGATATTTTTTCTTAAACTCAATAAATTTGATAAGAATGAGCCATCAACTGATGGCATAGTATACAACTATTGTATTTTAAACTGCTGGTGACGAATGCAGCAAGTGGAAAGAACAGACCAATCTTGACTGTATGAATAACAAAAAAAAAAATATAATAAAGATATACACTATACCGTAATTAATAACAAATTACACCAAGTGTTGATTGGCAATAATCGCTAGAATTTTGTCTATGTCTTTAGTAAGAAAATGTAAATTTGTTAATAATTTTTACCTGATATTTTTTCTTAAACTCAATATATTTAATAAGGATGAGCCATCAACTGATGGCATAGTAACAACTATTGTATTTTAAACTGTTGGTGAAGACTACAGCAAATGGAAAGAACAGATCAATATGGACTGTATGAATAACAAAAAAGAAAATATAATAAAGATATATATACAATACCGTAATTAATAACAAATTACACCAAGTGTTGATTGGCAATAATCGCTAGAATTTTGCCTATGTCTTTAGTAAGAAAATGTAAATTTGCGAATAATTTTTACCAGATATTTTTTCTTAAACTCAATAGATTTAACAAGAATGAATCATCAACAGATGGCATAGTAACAACTATTGTATTTCAAACTTTTGGTGAAGATTACAGCAAATGGAAAGAACAGATCAATATGGACTGTATGAATAACAAAAAATAAAATAAAATAAAGATATATACAATACAGTAATTAGTATTAACAAATTAACTGTTAAATAATTGGGGTGTTTTTTAACTTGCATAATATAATTTGATGACCTGGTTTTTTTGTTTTTTTATAACTGTACAATGTCTAGTTCGTAAACTAACCAAGCAGGTGCGAGAGGAAGCATAGCAGGAAAACAAAAATCGTAAACATGTTGAAACAGAAAGGAAGAAAACTAAAGACATCAATCAGATCTACATCATACTTAATGGTACTTTTATATTTTGCTAATTATAATATTGTATTAAAACAGATAATAATAATATGTATAAAGTGTTACTTTCAAAGTTAAGTTCCATATTTAAATCAGTTATTTTAAAATAATTATTTATAATTACAGGAAACACTGGAAGAGGATACACGCATAATCACCTTAAAAGAAAGAGGTATAATGTGTTAGACCTTATATAGCGCTTCTTGCCAACAAGGTCTCTAACCACTTTACATTATTACCCCCGGTCATCGGATTAAGCACACATAAAATACAGGTGTCCTAGGTTTTCCCGCAAATCGTCTCACAGTAAATCATAATAACCAATATCCTGCAAATTCATGATATCTGCACGATTTTAACTATTTTATGAGATACACTTGAAAATAAACTTCCAGGAATTCACAAGAAAGTTGTTAATAAACTTTTTGATTAGAAACGTGGATTTAGCTACGATATAAGATCAATCAACAGCTAACGTATTGACATTTTAATCACATCTTGCTGTTATTTCATTGTGAAAAGGTCCAAAAAATTATGATAACAACCCACCCAGAAAAAATCCTGGATACACCCCTGAACAACAACTGTGTTTTTAACTGCTGGGGAAGACTACAGCAAGTGGAAAGAACAGACCAATCTGGACTGTATGAATAACAAAAATAAAATAAAATAAAGATATATACACAATACCGTAATTAATAACAAATTAACTGTTAAATAATTGGGGTTTTTTTTTAAATTTTCATAATATAATTTGATGATGTGGGTTTTTTTTTTATAACTGTACAATGTCTAGTTTGTAAACTAACCAAGCAGGTGCGAGAGAAAGCATAGCAGAAAAAAAAATCTTATTTCTGTGACAGTTTGAAATTACTAATTTACAAATGATTCTTTTTTTGAATATGTTCAATATATGAAAATACTGCATATAATGTAAGAGACACTAATCATGAAATGTAGAAATATTATATTTCATTTGAACCCAAATCTTTCTGACAGATAGGTCATTCTACAGTGTTGTGTTCAGTTTGCTGGATGATTTAAACGCACTGAAACAAAGAAATTCGCACAAAGTGAATAAATCACTTATCTCAGGTTTCCTTTGATGCAGAATTATAGAGTTGTCCAGTACAAGTATAATTTTATACTGTATGCACTTTTGTACATTAAACCATTCATTTGTTTCAATATTTTAGAACAGTTTGAAATGACTAATTTACAAATGATTCTTTTTTGGAAATGTTCCATATAAGAAAATATTTGGAATGCAGAATTATAGAGTTGTCCCGTATACAATTACTTGCAATTTCATCAAATGCACTTTTGTACATTAATCCAATGATTTTTTTCAATCCGTATTTCAGGGACAGTTTGGAATTACTAATTTACAAATGATTTTTTTTTTTTTTCGATATTTGAAAATACCGCATATAATATAAGAGAGACAATAATTAAATCATCAATATAGAAATATGCTCACCCACAATCAGCTGAATGATTGCAACGCACAAGGACAAACTACCGGGAAGTGAGACAGAAAAAGATAAGCAGATAAGATATTCATGGTGTGTTTCAGTATATTTATAGCATTTTCAAATTAATGAAAACAATAATTTAACAACATATATTGTTCAAAGACCAAGACCATGTTCAGTACAATATTTACAATATTTGAGGAAATAAAAGGAACGGCATACGAAAATCATGTTAACCGCACGATATATGCTGTAAACACTGCTAAGGTATATGAAGGAGTCGAGGGATTGAAGAAAAAAACGTAGGTGGTTACATGAAGGCTATGGCAACAACTGTGCTCACAAATTGGTTTGAATTTCAGGCCAATGTGCAAGAATGTGGTAAGACAAGACTGTACTGTCCTTATATGAGGCACCATGTGCTTCAACAAAAACTTTCAAAATTTAAATATACGCTTAGATTAAAGTTACTAGTCTTGTCAGTAGCTTTGTCGTTAATAAATTGGAGATTAGTTTTTTAATTTCAGGATCATACCTAAATATAATGCGACACCAAGATTTTGTTTTACTCACAAACAACACTCCCTAAACCAAATACTTAGATTTTGTTTATAGGAGAGCATTTTTATTCTGTGGTGGCCAGTTAAATTTGAATGGGAATAAATTAAAAATTAATTAAATAAAATGTAACAGTGTGCATGTGACTAAAGATGATGTAAAATTAACATTAATCCATGTTTTCAATAAAAATATATTGTAGTATATTCTAACAGCTGGAATTTTAAAATAATTTGGCTAATGGTTTTTCATCAAAATGTTATCACTTTAGACGAAGCTGAGTAAAGCTATGTTTGTATTGAGTAAAACACTGTTTGATATCCTGCTGGGACTTTATGAAATCTTATGTTTTATTTTTATTTTATTCAGTTCGAAACCAACAGCGATAAAAACCGCCACCAACAGGTTGAATCAAAAAGTAATAAAATATATGTATACAATAAATTGAAAAGTTGAAAAAAAAAACACTTACGAATAATTAACAATTTTACTTTTAAAAACATTTAAACTATCATAAAAGAGATTGATATCACAAGTAACAAGCAGACTATTAAATTCATTGGGTAACCGCTGAAAAAAATGCCCCGTTTTGTGCAATCAACATGACCGTATGGAACGTGGAGCAAACGCTTACTGCGAGTATGAGTAGGAACATTTAGATTAAACAAAGAAACAAGAGGACAATCAAAAGAGAATTCAAAGACTTATAAAAAAATACCATGTCAAAAACAATTCTACAGTTTTAAAGAGAAACAAGAGAGACATTTTAATTGGGACAAGTGTGACTAAAAAATGCAACATTGCAAACCACTGTCCTGGGTTATCTACTGTAAATGACTCTACTACTTTAATACTAGCGAGAAATTAAAGAATACAGTGATGACAAACCTACGTATGTTTGTTTGTTTTTATAAAACAATAAAAAGAAACAAACAAACATATGATGATCGACTGTATAACTAAAATAATCACAGAATTGGTAAAGCTAGATAATACCAACATGGTAATTCTCAGGCCCAAATACTGTATTCTTCATTCGTTTTTGTGTCATCATGTTACTGTATATAATACGTAATCTGACAATTTTTTTTTTCATCTTGTTACCTAGACTGCTTTCCTTATAGTACAAGACAAGAGATTGAAAAATATGCCAGAAAATTTGAGGTATTCCTGGAATTGATGAAGATGTTGGATTGATGCAGTTTTATTTGTGGGCCACTGGCGATAAAAAATTTACTTTGAGAAAATTGTGGTGTAATTTTAAATGTATGTCTGGTTTTATAAATAGGCCGATTCATCCTTTTCTTTTTATCTAGTTACCTAGACTGATGTCCTTATGGTACAAACTGGAAAATAAAGGAATCCTAGAGGAAGAATTGTTAGGTCATCTGTGGAGACAAGATATTGCAATAAATACCAGAAGCTTTGAGTTATTCCAGGAATTGATGAAGATGTTTGGACTGTTGTACGAGATGTAAAATGTAAGAAATATGCCGTTTCATTTGTAGTTTTCTGTAACACTTTATGTGGAAAACTGGCTATAAAAAAATTTACATTGAGATATTTGTGGTGTACTTTTAAACGTCTGTTTAAAAATAGGGACGATTCATCCTTTTCTTTTTATCTAGTTACCTAGACTGATGTCTTTATGGTACAAGCATGATAATGGAGGAATCCTAGAGGAATAATTGTTAGGTCATCTGTGAAGACAAGATATTGCAATAGATGCCAGAAGCTTTGAGTTATTCCTGGAACTGATGAAGATGTTCGGACTGTTGAACGAGATGCAAAATGTAAGATATATGCCATTTCATTTGTAGTTTTTCTGTAACTCTTTATGTGGGAAACTGGCTATAAACAAATTTACATTGAGATATTTGTGGTGTACTTTTAAACGTCTGTTTAAAAATAGGGCGATACATCCCTTTTTTTTTTTTTTTTATTTGGTTTCCTAGACTGATGTCCTAATGGGACAAGCATGATAATGGAAGAATCCTAGAAGAAAAATTTTTAGGTCATCTGTGAAGACAAGACATTGCAATAGATGCCAGAAGCTTTGAGTTATTCCTGGAACTTATGAAGATGTTCGGACTGTTGTACGAGATGCAAAAATAAGATATATGCCGTTTCATTTGTAGTTTTTCTGTAACTCTTTATGTAGGAAATACTGGCTATAAAAAAATTTACATTGAGATATTTGTGGTGTACTTTTAAACGTCTGTTTAAAAATAGGGCAATACATCCCTTTTTTTTTTTTTTTATTTGGTTTCCTAGACTGATGTCCTAATTTGACAAGCATGATAATGGAAGAATCCTAGAAGAAAAATTTTTAGGTCATCTGTGAAGACAAGACATTGCAATAGATGCCAGAAGCTTTGAGTTATTCCTGGAACTTATGAAGATGTTCGGACTGTTGTACGAGATGCAAAAATAAGATATATGCCGTTTCATTTGTAGTTTTTCTGTAACTCTTTATGTAGGAAATACTGGCTATAAAAAAATTTACATTGAGATATTTGTGGTGTACTTTTAAACGTCTGTTTAAAATAGGGCGATACATCCTTTTCTATCTGGTTACCTAGACTGATGTCCTTATGGTACAAGCATGATAATGGAGGAATCCTAGAGGAATAATTGTTAGGTCATCTGTGAAGACAAGATATTGCAATAGATGCCAGAAGCTTTGAGTTATTCCTAGAACTGATGAAGATGTTCGGATTGTTGCACAAGATGCAAAAAGTAAGATATACTTATGCGTTTCATTTGTAGTTTTCTGTAACTCTTTATGTGGGAAACAGGCTATAAACAAATTTACATTGAGATATTTGTGGTGTACTTTTAAACGTCTGTTTAAAAATAGGGTGATACATCCTTTTCTTTTTTTATCTATTTTATGCCTAGACCGATGTCCTTATGGTACAAGCTTGATAATGGTTGAATCTTAAAAGAAAAATTGTTAGGTCATCTGTGAAGACAAGATATTGCAAAAAGATGTCAGGAACTTTGAGGTATTCCTGGAAATGATGAAGAAGTTCGGATTGTTGTACGAGATGCAAAAAGTATGATACATGCTGTTTCATTAGTAGTTTTTTCTGTAACTTTTATGCGAGCCACTAGTTTGGTTTTGAAAATAGGGCGATTTATTCATTCATAAAGCCAGTCTTAACTTATCACTTGACCTACAGGTATTTTCATTAAACATTCCACACAACAATCAAACACTAAGCACCAAATGGTGTTAAAAGTTACTCCCAAACAAAAGTAGATTCTAGTTTACTAATCATTAAAAACAAAATGCTATACCCATAATTTCAGATTGAAGGTTTATTGTACATTAATGTGTATCAAATAAATTTCCTAAAGAGAAAAAATAACATTATTTTTAGTCAATTTACTGGCACCTCGGATGTCTCCGAGTGACTCAGTTGGATGGTTTTGTCTCTATAGAGGGACTAAAATTCTGTACAAATTTTGTTTGGTTCCAGGACAACTTGAAGATCAAGAGTGCTAAGAAGAGGTCAAATGAAGAAATACCCAAACAAAGGTAACTTAAATGAAAATGATAATTTTATCATTTTTTATTATCTCTAACAAAAGAACCTAATGATGTCACATTTTTCTAAGGTGATTTTTAACATTCACAGTATTAGGTCTCCCTCCAATTAAAAACCACTTTTGAGATGGGGGTTTTAGTGGTCTTTAGCAGTCTGTAATTTGAATCCCTCTTAAAGACCGGCACTACAATTTCTCTTTAAATACCTCTATTTCGAGGTAAATAAGGTTTAAAGGAAATGATTTAATAAATGTAAGATTATTTTATCCCATATGTTTTAGAATGGAATCCATAAATACTACTACTACTACTATTACTACTGTTGAACCTTTTATTTTTGTTTTAATTCATTGAAGCTGCACTTTCAGTAAACAATGACACTACATCACAGACATTTCAACAGGTCAACCAATACAAGCATTCATGCAGCTAAAATATTTATTATAATTTGTCAAATGCCAAACATGCTAAAAAGTTTTAACGGATATGGTGTATTGTATAATTGGCCAAGTACAAATAATAAAACATGACAAAAAAATATAATACCGCGCTTAGAGGTTTCATGACATTAGGCGCTCTATAAATCCAGGATATTATTATTATTATTATTATGATTATTATTATTATTATTATTATTATTTATTACAGTGAGTTTTGGATTCATAATTGAGGGATATCATGCTGCTGCCAAAAAAGTCTGAAATAAATTCTTTCAAGACATTCTTCAAAATATTTCAATTCCAAACCTGATAACATTTTGTTTTGACAAGTGTCACAGCGAACTACCATGTTCCTGTTTGTTAGACCATTGGATATCTTGGGCAACATTTTAACTACAATAATTGCTAATCAACAAATATTTTATTAAATATTAGTATGAAGTTCAGTACCTATGGAATGATTAAGTGTAAATATAATAAGTAGCAAATTTATAAATACTGCAATAAGAAAATTACAAGCCTAATTTAGACAACTGCTTTCCATCCAAATATTTTTACACATAAGAAGCATGTTTTTCAAAGCTAGCTCCACCAGAAAGAAACACAGAATCTTGTCCACCAGATTCTATTAATCTTACAAATCTCTTATTTTTCCAAAGACACAAAATTTCACTGGCTCACATATCAATAATATTGCTCGAAAACATTGAAATTGCTTTAGAAAGCACTGAAAATCAAAATGCTTTAGAAAAATTGAAATAGTTATAGAAGGCTGCTAGTATTAGATAGCATGTAGCTATACTGTAGAAAGCATTGAAATATAGCCACAATATTTGTCAAATCAATAGAAAGCATGTGAATAGTAATTTACCAGCATGAAGTAGTTATGGAAAGCATTGAAATAGCTATAGAAAGCTGCTACAGTAGTAATAGCATAAAATAGCTATAGAGAGCACTGAAAAAGCTATAGCCACAATATTGGTCAAATCAAAATAAAGCATGTTAATAGAACCTTACCAGCATGAAGTTGCTGCTAGCATGAAAGAGCTATGGAAAGCATTGTAATAGCTATTTATTCATTTCATCAAAGATAATAGAAGATGGACCAGTTCGCAATATAGTGGAACTTCTGGTCTAAATGAATTGAGGAGGATGGGTCCACAGAGGCCAACTTTACTTAATTCGCGTGGCGGCGTTATATATTTCCATAGTGAAGGTGGGCTCAGGGTTCCTTTGTTTCCTGTAGTGGCTCAACTCCGTCATATGATCAAATATTTACTCCGCTCGTGGGAGGGTGGACGTTACATCAATTTTAATGCTGATGCGCGAAGAACTCATTCTCCTGCTATAAAAATTCTTTGACTTCATTTGCATTCTAAGTAGAAAACGCAAGTCTAGTCACCATTTTATCTTGCAGTATAAATAACCAACCATCATGAATTTAATTCAGGCTTAAAAGACATCGGCTAAAAACTGAGGGATTTCCAAAATAATGAACCAAGAAATACGGCACAAAAAATTACACAAGTTAAAACCTGGCTCAACTCATTAACGATGATAAAGGGCATTAAGGGCGTCTGAACAGCTGAGCAGTTGGACAATGCCAAGAGAGAAACATCATGATTTTTTTTTCCGATGAAGTATTTATGTATTTTCCAGACAATAAAAAATAGTGCTTTATCTCTTGCCATGGGAAATGCACAGTAGTACTTTGCATTTTCCACAAATATTGTGTATTTCTTCAAGGAAAGTAAACAAAAATCTGCTCCATATTTTGCAGACAACATTACTATATATATATATATATATATATCTTCTGACGAGACTAAACATCAACGACCATGTATAATTTGTCGAGAATAAATAATTTTTCCTCAAATTAGGACTTTTTTAGGAGCATTAATTTTAGTTTTAGAGTGCTATTTCCAGCATCTAGAGATGCAGATATTTTATATTTTGCTGACCTCAGCCTCAACCAAGGTCGGGCTGAGGTGCGTTTAGACTCCCTGTCTAAGAACTTGGACTCTTTATTGGAGAATTGCAAATACGTTCCAACATATGGAAATTGCTTCCTTAAAGCTGTTTATGACTACTAAACAGAACAGTTGTTAGTGTTTATACAACATGAAATAAAAATCTTTATAAAAATATTTATAATTAAAATGTTAAATCATTTCTTTTAAAAAGTTAGAAATGAAATCCTGATGAATTTCTTCATTAAAAATATTTATGTACATACACTTGATGATTCTGACACTCTGTCACAAACATTAACAAAAAATGAATGGCTATCACGGACGGCTATTCATGGACGGTTATTCACGGACGGAGTTAATTGCAAAGCATCAGTTAGTTCCTGACATTTCAGTATTAATAAACTAAGTAGGTGTATTTTTTATTTTATGGCCAAGTCACATATTTGAATTTTGTCAAAAATATTTTGGAAACGTTTACAATGTGTATTATTGTAGCATGAAGGTGCAATGCATGTCGGAAGCATTTAAAAAAAAAAAAAAAAAAAAAGGAAATGTTAGTTTAGGATCTGTGTTACATTATTTGTTCCTATATTTGAGCACTATTTCAACCAATATTTGATTACAGTGTTATGATGCAGCAACAGTTTACAAAAAATATTTTTATATAACTTTAACAATTACAATATATTTACATCAATATTTACTGCCAAGACAAATAAATGATCTTGTATCTGGAATTTTTTTTGCCTTGTTTTTTCATTCATTTTTTTTTTTGTGTCAGTAACAAAGCATTAGTCATACAGAAAAGCGTTGTATTACGGCAATATACTGTATCCGCAATGGTTGATATAAAATGTATGTCGGTAATCATACCAGCTTTGTTATATCGCCTTACAATCTGTCTGCCTGACTAAACAAAAAACATTCCTCATTCAAGATGAATTACTTGTTTAACAATTTTATAAATGTTCTTTTCAGACATTGCATTGAATATAGTGAAGTTATAAATCTGTCTCCCACATCGCATCATAAAAAAAATGGACTGATTTATAAAGCTGGCTTATAAACCGATGGACCAGTTCTGGAAGACTTGTAGCATAGCTGAAAGATTAGAAGTAGTGTATGGTAGTCTTGTATTTTCAAAACAATGACATTTACCATGCTAATTCAATCGATGCCTATCATGTAAAATGAAATCCAGAATCCTGCTGTTGTTTTGTCATTCAAAGCGATACAGCCTTTACCAGACATTTAGAGATTGTGTCAGACTATATACAGTATGATTACAGTCTCCGCAAATGGATGGAATGTTGCCGGCCGATTCTATATCATGTCGACCATTAACGAGCAATTTCAGTCTTCCGAGTTATTGCTTGCTGTCATCAATTCTGACAGGAGATAGCACGTCTCTCTTTGTCCAATGCCAACGAAGTGCTCAAATTCTAAACTGTAATGACAGTTGAATTGATAAATTAAAGACATACCAAAACTATCTCTATTCTACTAAAAAGTACAGTATTGAGAATATACCACACTCGCACGAATAAGCGCCCAGGCGCTTAAATATATTTTTTGTACTTTTTGAGGGGCGCTTATGAAAACAGTGAAAATTGAGGAAACGCTATGGAAATAAATGAAAATTGAGTGATTCTTATTGGAAATTTGAAGGGGAACTTTTTGAATGAAAAAAGATTATATAAGGACATCTGGAAACCAAAGATTACAAATGGATCTTGTGCAGAAAAGATAATCGTCCTGAGAACATCGCTCATGACAAGAATGCTGCAAGATGAAATTAGTGGTGGTGGTGGTTTGGTAGTGTAAAAGCTTGTTGGCCATCTGCCGATTGAGACTAGCAGAATCATTGCGGGCTTTCCTGCAAACTCAGATGAAAACCTCCTAAAGGAGCAAATTGTTGGGAAAGAAAAAGAAAATTAGGAATGCACAAATCTAAGAAGAGGAAAATTAAAAAAAAACTGTCCTGGGAGATCTCTTTTGAAACTCACAAAATAAGACAAAAATGTGAATCCACTCCGCAGCTCAAATCATGCCAACCACAGTCCCAGAATTGATTGGATTATTGGCTTGCTAAGAAAATCACATGATTATTGTTTAAAAACATGAATAAACATCGAAGGGGCGCTTATTCAAACGGGGCAAATAATAAAATTTTCCCGATAGGAGGGGCGTTTATTCAAGAGGGGTGCTTATTCAAACAGGGCGCTTATTCGCATGAGTACGGTACTGTCTTTAAAAAAATCCTCAAAAAACACAAATCTAAACACTAAAGCAGGGAACTCACTGTGGCCGGCGCGATTCTATGGATGACGCACACGCAATGGATTGTTTTTAATGACGCTCCGTTCAGACAGCCACCGACAATCAGCAGACAGCTTCACCTTGTCTAACGTTCAAATGAAGCAGAGTTGGATTTGTCGGCTGAAGACCATACGATCATCGTATGACCATTGTACAATGCAGTGAGTGGATGGCTTAAGTTGCCGGTCTTGATAAAATGCCACCTAGCGCCCTATTCTAAAATTTTTTTCTTTTTACTAAAAGAAATACACAAGATTCTCATGACTGAGAAAGCCTGAGAATCGCAGTATTGATTTCCACCTAGTAACTAACACATTACCCCTGCTGACAGGAGTGGGGGAGGGGTGGCAAATGGCCTGGTCAAAACTCTATGTAGCATCCTAAAAATCTGTAACCAAGTTATTATTTAGATAAGAAATTTAAATGGCTAAAACTCAAGACCACAATAAGTAAGAAAATACTCCACAACTAGGCTAGTGAGGTCCTAGATTGCTACTCCGCCCTACACTTCCCCTAGTAAAAATACTGGATTCCCTATGCACATGCTATACATACAGAATCACTATATTGCAGAATCTTTTCATAAGGAATGAGATTCATTATATTCAACACTAAGTTACATTTTTTTCATATACTAAATCGTTTCCATCTTGGTTCTACCTGGTATCCTGAATTGACCAAATTAATTTGTCAGAATTGTTCATTTGACTTTGATTGCTTTTACCTTGCGCTGGAATGCATATTCTCATCTGGTTTCAGATCTCCACATGTTTTTTTCCACTTTTCGTAAACTTCAACTCCTCCTAAATTTTCAATGCACTGCCTGAGATAGTAAAGTAATAAATAATGAGCTGTATCGTAAATGCTTAAATGATCGCCGCGACGTTATAACATTTTCGGGAGGCTCCAGTGTGGCGCTTATTAGAGAGCGGCACTTATTAATAAATACTGGTGTGGCGCTTTTCATGCCCGTTCCCATGTTACCTATCTCACATATTCCCGTAGTTCGGTAGGCCCATCACAGATCCTAGGTCAACGGAATTATACGTTTATAAAGAAATGCTTGAGTCTTCATTGTGTTATTTATTCATTTTAACACCGTAAACATTGTATTAAACTCTGTTTCTCAAAGTGTGTCATTACAGACAAGGTACTGTAGTATATTCTTGATTAAGCGCAGAGAGCGGTGCTTATTCTAGATAGACGCTTATTAAAGTATTTACGGTATATGCAAATAACTTAAGTTAAATAAACAGAACAGGAAGCAAGCAAACAATAGAAACCTTACTCTTTAATAAAATTTCGGCAACTGGAGACAGGCCTCTCCTGACAACATTCATCATCTTCATCGTCGTCTTCATTATGGAAAGATTGTTGGCTTGCTTTTATTCCTACTGCTGTTTTAGCATGGCACAGTACATCATCCAGATCCTTAAAAAAAAAAGAGGCATAAAAGAATTACTTAACTTTCTCATCACATTAATAATAATACAGTAGTAGTGGATATTATATACAGTTTCATACTAACAGCCCTATTAACTTCACACTAACCCATTTCACACTGATGCTATTTTGCAAATATTAACAACTTGTAACAAGTTGTAACCAGGTTTGGATGAGTGTGAAAGCAAAATCCTTGTAAACTTTCTGAGATTTCACAGGGGTCCCCTGAGTTATCTCGGAACAAAAACAGACCATCGCGAGGCCTGTTTTTTTCCCGAAAGTTGTTGTTGCACATGCGTCATGTCCATATTTTGACCTTTTTGCGGGCTGTGTTTTTTTTTTGTTTAGTTCGAACGAATGGCGGCAGCGATGGAAAACGTATCAACATTGCTACCATTTGTTAATAGGCCTAGACCTAAAATCAAAAGAAATCTCACTAAATTTCACATGTCTGATGTAGAAACAATCACAAGGCTTCGTAAAATACGCTGACAGCGAATCATTATGATGCTTGTCGCACTGATTGCCTCTAACAACAATGGTGAGCTACCGGCCGGCGGCCCGACTGTGCCTAGCTAGCCTAGGGCTATCTTTCTCGCCAGCTCGACTACAGCAAGCGAGCTACAACTAGCCTAGGCCTACTAGTACTACCCTAGGCCTCTAGGCCTAGTCATAATATTCTTCCGAGTTTTCCCGAGAGTTCTCATGGTTTGAAAGTGCATGTGTGAAATGAACCAAAAATCTCGGAATATCAAACTTGTTACAACTTGTTAATAGTTGTTAAAAATTGTAATATTTTCTGCTACAGTAGTGTGAAATGGGTATTAGATTCTTTCCATACATATTTTGTGTTTTGTCCTTGGACATTGTCTTCATTTTCTTAATAAATCTACAGACAACAAATACTATCAGATATTACCTTAAAATACTTCATAAAAAAACATAATCTGATTAAATAATTATAAGATAATGAATATTATTGAATTATTTAAATTAAAATATTAAATAAAGGCAAGGAATACCATTAAATAACATAATTTTGTGTAAAACAAGACTAACTTAGTTTTAATACCTACTTGAGATAACACAGACTTTAACAATAAGGATGTTCATATTATGCCCCTTCACACATTTACGATTTTTGCTACGATAGAGCATGATTTTTAAAAGTTCTAAAATCGTGCTCTACCGTAGTTATTCGTACCCAAAAAGTCCAAGTTCAATAAAATTTTATTCTTTTGTCAATACGCTTAAGGTATATTACGACAGTAATGCGATAGTGCGACGGCATTGTTATGAAATAACGATAGAGTTACGACGTTAAGTTGATTTAACTAATATTCACATGACGACAAAGGCACAATTTATGAATATTGGAATGTTGTTGTTGTCATAATTGTTGATATTTCACCATGTTAAAAAATCTGAAATATATGCCAGCTGCTGCTCTACGTGCTGTGGCCATTATAAATATGAGTCTGAATGAAGATGCCGTCAGGACAATGACAACACAGCACTCACACAATGCTGCTGCGGTAGACCAAGATGTTTTTCACAGCTACGATTGAGCATTAAGATGCAGTACGATACGCTATGGTGAATTACGATTAACTACAAAATTTACGAGGTAACGAAAGTTTAAAAAAATCATGCTAAATCGTAGCACAAATCGACAGTGTGTGAAAGGGCCATTAGTCTGTAAATTGATACAATGTAAACTAAGGGGAGGTGCCAAGGGAATGAAGTGGAATAATATTGAACGAGCGGTTTGGAGCAGCGATTGCAGTACTGCCCTTGCTGTGCATTACTTAGCTTGTGTCCTGGGCAAAGGAATCTTACCTCCCCAGGCAGCTAAGTATGTGTCCCATATGTGCTCCACACTCCCCACACCTCCCCCCACCCCACCACTAAAAATAAAGGATAGCCTGTTCAATTGAAATTCATACAATAAGGATATATATAAAAACATACCACATCAGAGTCTTCTTCAAAGTCATCAGCATATTCTACAACTTCATCATCATCATCAGGAGTTTTCGAATTGCCATGGTGATTATTATTACAATTTCTGACATCAGAAGAGGATTCTATTGATTCATCAAATACTTTGAAGATTCAAGGATGAAAAAAAAAGATGTGTAAATATATTGTGGCAATAAGCGTAAAGATGTTAATAATATATATAATATAATTAAAATAGTATTAAACATAATACATCCTATTTTTAATTAGGGCATCAAAGTTGACCCTTCATAGGTACGTAGGTGTGGAACTATTTTACTGTATATTCAAATACATGTACAGGTCCTTAAAAATAAGAAAAAATAACTGTAAAGATGACACTACAAGAAGACTGGATTCTAAAAAGTCATTTCAAGATGGATGGATCAGATTAAACTACAAAGATAAAATTCAAGTTCATTTAGATAGTTGGTTTCTTTTTTTTTTTTCTTTTTTTGGTTTTAGGCGAGACTTTTTTTATACCTTGTTTAACAAACCCGCCAACTGCAAATATTGATGATTTTGAATAAAAATAAAATTTATTTTTGGCCAATTAGCGCACCCGCTGCCACGAAAAATTGGAAATTTTAAAAAGAAATTTAATTTTATTTTATTACGCCCTCCACTGCCTTGAAATCTCCAAAAATAAGATATGTATATTTCTTCTAAATTATATAAATTTGAAGCATTTAACCATCCTATTTTACATTCACTAATAAAATTTCATTTTTATTTTCTCCTCAGTCTGGACGATTTTGGCAAAACTATTTGCTAAATAAGAAAACAAAATTTTATTTTTATTTTATTTTTATTTTTATTCTGCCCTCCTCCGATAATCTTTAAAAAAATAAGTACGCAAAACATGGAATAAAAAAAGTCTCGAATTAGGTTAATAAATGTGATATAATTTTAGTGAAATTATTTGTATATACTCTGTAGTCTTCAGTTTTTCTCTCAAGTGTATGGAAATTCGCACAATACACTACAGAACTAAAATATTATTATATATCTAGCTTACTTTCTTCTATTTCATTATCCTCATCATCATCTTCCTCACTGCTACTAAAGTCATCTGAATATTCCCCTGATTCTCTTGGCTCAACTGGTGTTTTTGGAATCTCAGTTGTATTCTGGTCAACATTTCTACAACAAATAGTTAAACAGTAATGAGTTCTCTATTTCTGGGCTTAATTTTGCCGAGCAAGATTTGTGTACTTCAAGCAAGGCACATTACATTTGCTTCTCCGCACCTGGAAGAATGAATAAGACCCTGGTGGAGTTGCCTGCCCCTGAACCAATATGGCAGCAACACTTGTGTATGTACACCCAATGACCAGGGATAAGAGAAAAGCTTTGTAACAAAAAGAACAGGTGCTATAAAAATGCTCAGTAACGTAACAGAACATAATAACATACTGATACATACAGTATATGTGGCAAAGACAAGCCAAACCAGTCACTCATCACAAATCATGTTTCAGTGAAAATGGCCAAAACATGCTGGAATGTCAATTTTTTTTTAATCTATTTTATTACACTAAACTAACCTTTATATATTGTACAAAAACACTTTTTAAGGATTTGATGATAGATTCTGCATGATTTCTCATATATTGTTCTTTAAACAGCTGTATGTTTAAAATGCTTGTAACTGCATAAGGAAATATCAGATTTAAATGATTTTTTTACCATTTTATAGCTATTTTACTCTGACCCTACATTAATAACTCAAAATTGATTTTTGCGATGAGTGACTGGTTTGGCTTGGTTTTACCACATATGATAAATGTTGAAATGTTTAGCAAAATAATATTGTACAGTGCAGCACATGCTAAAGAGTGGATTTTATATATCTGAAAGAGGTACTTTTTCAATCATATAAGTTTAGTTAAATACAGTACTACCTTACTTGAATATATTAATTAAATTCAATGTACATTTCATGAATTCTGTTATGGTTCAATCATCAATGCAAATGGATGAAAAACAAAATTCTGTACCTTTTTGTATCTTCTTGTTTTGCACGTTGTATTTGATTACGAACCTGTTCAGTACCGTCAATAAACGCCGCCAAATGTTGTTGCATAAATGGAGAAGACAGCAATGTGTTGGCACTGAAAAATTTAGCAATATAAGTGCAAGACATATAAGTCAGCTGTTACATTGTTCTGAAAAAAACTGAACACCAATACTCTTCACTTTAAGACTAATCAGTGATTTTTTTTTCAGGCAGTTAGGTGGTTAATTAGAAATCTTTCTTTTTTCTGGACACCCAATCAATGTGGGGACAGTATTCTTCCTTGGGGTCCAGACAACAACTACTTAAATTTCATACAAAACAAAATTAATAATAAAAATTATATGAAGAATAATGTACAAGATGCCAGTTTAAATTAGATCTTTGAAAGATTTTAAAGTAAGTGAACATAGGATTAAAAACTCTGATCAATTTAGATAAACAATTTTTGTTTTTCCCAAGCATATTTCAAAAAATATTGTAGCCTTTCATGACAAAATAATTGTCATCTATTTCTCTGCATAATGGCACAAGTGGATTAAAGAACACTCCAATGTGTTTAGATAACAACAAGTGTGTGTGCAATTATTTTTTATTGATGTTTTGGTGTCCCATGAAGCAGAATGTGATTTATCAAAGGTAGAATTATAATGATAAATACAATTACCTTGGTCGTTTATCAGGGTCTTTGATTAGTATGGAGTTGACGAGTGTTACCAGTTGTTCTGAATATTCTTCTGGTATTTCCTAGGAAAAACATAAAAAAATAGTGAATAGTGGAGTTTTAAGCAATTCAGATTTTAAAAAAAACAATGATATTAATAACAAAGAAAATATAACAATATAATATTTTAACAGCAGCACCAACAATAAAGAAAATAAATATAATTATATTTTTTCCAGTAATATATTAAAAAATGTAATTTTATTTTATTTTTGTTTTTTTACATGTTTTCTTTAAAAAAAAAAACAGAAAAGATTACTTCAGATGTGAGGGCTATGGCACCAAACAACTCAGATGCAACCGGTTACGCCAAGAATCACCAACTGAGTCTGAAGACTTACTTTCAATGGGGTTGTTCTAATAATGAATTGGGCACACACCAGGAGATAATCTTATTTTTCATGTGTGTACTTTGTTCTATAACATGCATTTGGTCATATTACTCACACGACCTATGACCTAAATGTCTTATTTGAAAGATGGTGCATTATTGAATCATGCATTTCAACCCTCCAGCTGGGTCACAAAGAAAAAAGATAGAACTGAACTAGAGACATAACACCTCCATGGTTCAGCGCACACACAGAGGCTGACTTTGCGAAGTTGCTCTCTGAAGAACAATAACAGAAAACACAACCAAAAACATGAGAAAAAAAACTTACGGAATGCTCACACTTTACAATCTTATAGAACAAACTGATGAGGTTGCTGGCGTCGAAGGCAGGTTGAAATGCACACATCTCATATAGCAAACAACCAAGGGCCTTAAACAAAATGCAATTTCTAATTTTTTACATTTAAAATACATTCATTAGAAAAATATAATTAAAATATAATATAAATCAATTATTACTATCACTGTCATTGTCACTACCATTACTATATTATGGTACTAATATAATAATTATAATTTATATTTATTTCATTATAATTATTATTAGTATTAGATTGTTATCATCACTATTGTAACTGTTATCATCATTATCATCGTCATCATCATTATCGCCACCATTAGGGAGATTTCGCAAGCTCACAAAAATGATAACGAATATGAATACAGTACGTTGTTATCATTATTTCTTTCATGCCTAAAACATTAAAAACGAGCTGGAATATGACCTTTGATTCATGCAAAAGCCATAAATCGCCTAAATTCTGACAGATAAGCTGCTGTAGGAGAAGGGTTGGCAAAAAATTTGATGACGTAACCATATTCGTCATCGTTTTCGTACAGTAAGCTTACGAAAACTCCATTAATAACCATCACCACCACCATCATCCTCGTATTAGCGTCATCACCTCAACAACCATTACTACCTAATATAAGTAGTAAACAAACTTACCCAAACATCAGATTTACTGTTGTATGGAATATCCTGACACAGTTCAGGACTAAGGTAGCAAGGCGTTCCAACACATGTGCTAGCTTTGTCTAAGGTTTGGTCTAAAGATTTTGCAATTCCAAAATCACCTAAATGAGCAAGGGGAAAAAAGGAATTATAAATGACTTCTTGGGTAGCTCAGCAAAGTGGAGTTGAATAGCTTTGTGGCCTTCTAAACCCAGGGGTCCTGGGTTAAATTCCTGTGACCGCAGCACTTTTTCTCACAGCTAAAACAACTCCATTCCCCAAGCCCCTTAAGAAGACTTCATTTACAAAGCATCGCCAAACCTGTAATAGGCAAGTTACTTACTGTTCAATTTGGATGTAAATGAAATTTTGCCACTAAACAAGCCAAGCAGACTCTAAAACTTCTATTTTGAGGGTCTTAGGTTGCAGTTTTCCTTACCTAATTTTACTAATCCCATTTTAGTAACAAACACATTTTGTGTCTTCAGGTCTCTGAAATAAAAAATGAATTGCATGTTTATGCTGCAAATATAATGTTTATTAAACTTAATCATTAACAAGCATATTTTAGCAATGAAAATATTAAAATTATAAATATTATATTAAAACAAAATTTAATAATTTACCTGTGAAGAATTTTCTGAGAGTGTATATACTGCACTGCTAACACTACTTGCACAAAGTAATGCATTATTTTATCTTCTGCTAAACTGTTTTGTTTCTCTTTAGTCTGTTGGCATACATCTTCCAATGTCCCACCATCACAATAATCCTGTAAAGAACAAAGGTAGGCAACACTTCTTAAACACTGTCCACACATTAAATCATTGACAAAAAATAGTTGTTTGCATATATGAGGCATGTCGGGGCGAAATGATTAAGTTGTCGCACAGGCCAATATTGAGTAAATTAGCTATAAATATGGGAGCTCAAAAAATTGCCCAAAAATCCAAATTTGTTTTTCACTATAAATCAACAGTTTAATATCTTATTAATCATGTCCCAAAGTATTACTTACAGTAGTTCTAGGAATGGTCAACAAATCGTTTATTTTAGGTTATTTTGATAGTTAATTCTATCAAACAATGTATGCACAAATAACTTTAGAAGCCAATTACTCAAAACCATGTTTATCTTGACTCTAAGAGTGCTGTGCTTTCACTTTCCAATACCTTGGACTGTCTTGAAATGACCAATTGCAATGAGTGACCCCTCATTTTAAAGATTACATACTCAGGTATCTGAAAATACCAATAACTTGAATTTCAATTTTTGCTCCAACTTAGACATTATGCCACAACATGCCCCATATATACAGTAGTCATGATGTGGTCTGCCATCAGTAGCCCTTGCAAAGCTACAAAAAATATGGAGTGGCAAAAATTATCACAACAAGAGTACGGCTGATACATACTTTAGTGTTAACTGTTCTTATTTACGATGCAGAAACTTGTACTTTAAAAGAAGAGGATAAAAAGGCAACTTGAAGCATTTGAGATGCGCTGTTATCATTTCATTTCATTTATTTCTTTCTCTATCGACCCTTTTCGGAATATGAGAGCAACAGCACAAAGCAATTTATACTAACAGAAGTGAGATGAAGTACAATTAAATTAGAACATTAACATTATTTCTTTAACAAAATGAGCAAGCATGACTAATTGTTTAACATTACAAGTTTGAAATAACTGCTGAAATTTTATAACATTTGGGCGAATATAAAAGTATTGTTTTATGTATTTTTTCCTAGCAGAAATTAGAGCAGGACATTATAATAGTTGGTATAACTAAATATGATATTTCCAGTACAAATTCCATATTTAGGTGGAAACTGAAAGCAAGGCTTTATATCTACTGTATTATAATACTGTCAATTGTGATTTATTTTTATTTTTAAATACTTAAAATTGTATAAAAATACAACTAATATGAAATTAATAACATTTTATAAATTATAAATGTCTTCTTTTCAAATAATGAATTAACTTGTAATGTTTACAGTATATACCATATGCTTATACTATGTATAAAACAATAAAATAATAATGTAAAGTAATACTATACTATTATAAAGTAGGAGAAATGAATATTTTTGCAAACTTAAGTGATATGTGGATCTTTAACTACTTGAGCATGATGGTGCAAGTTTTTTTAGGGGGATGTGTGTTTCTTGTGCAACCCTGGACACTGGGCCAGTCCTGGAGAACTTTAAGCTAACTAACATTCTGTTTAAGATTTAACAAAGTGATAATAAAAGACATAATGAACTTACCTATTTTGTGCTTTACTTTTAACAAGGAAAACAGCGCCACCAGTTCCCCGCCCAAGGGTTGTTACAATTTCAAACTCTTCCATTCACATTTAGAGAAGAATTTTTCTATAAACTACAAAGAAATGCATTTTTATTGTAAATTCATTAGCATTGATTGGCATTGCATTGTCCATACCAACACGTGATCTAGGCCTAGCCAACGCCTAGATGATGTTCATTAGGCAAAGCCAAAAGGTGTTTACTAGGCTCCATGTCCAACATCTAAGCTCCCTAAACTAGGCTTAGGCCAGTCTAGTCTGGTACGCCAGTGAGTTAGGCAGGTTCTACAATAGGCTAGGCCTAGGTTGGTTGGTTCCAACTTTTCGGACTTAACTTAGACCTTGCCCTTGCCTTGGCCTTACTTACGTACGCCATTAATCGACAGACGATAAAAACACCACTACTACTACAACTACTACTAGCCTAGTATTACTATATCGTACCTAGGCCTAATAGAATTTCATATCGGCGCTATTATACGGTTTCATTATCTACTCTGTCCAAACTATGCTAAAATAATTACTTACCTGAACAAATTTTATTGGATTCTGTATGAATCATCGTGGTACCATGGCATCATGGCATAGCTGTACCATTGTTTTTTGACTACGACGACGAGGGCGCGACCGTTGAGTCGCGAGGCTAGTCGAGGCTAATCGACCGTAGTGAAATCAATTTATTAATATTAATTATTAGGATATTTCCATCAGGATCGGTGGCACAAAGGTGGTGCATCCAAATTTACAGTTTTTACAAAAATATAACAAACTGAAAATTAGGCATACTAAAACATAATTTTGAAATAAAATGTTCAACTATTAGATGCAAGCAACACAAAGAAACTTACAATCAAACATTGGACAAAGGTCAAGGCTGCAGATGTAACAAAAGAAACAAAGACAAAAGATCGAATGAAAACAAGGGCATGAAACGGATTTTATGAAGAGGAATTTAATCAGTATTCACCATTTTTAAGGGACACAATGAACCGTCTCGAAGAAAATTCAACCAAGATGATAAAAACTAAAATCAAACATTAAAAAATAAATAATAATAAATGATGATGGAATACTTATTTATAGTCTATCCATGGAGTTATAATTATTAATTTTATAACTCATGGTCTATCGTAAAGCGGTGAAAACTGTTCTTGAGAAACTAGTGCTAATAGGCCCCTATTGCATTGTCAAAAAGTTCCAAAAACAGTATTTTTATTAAATTGCAACTGAGATGTTCTCTCTTCCCCCTTAATTTTTCCCCTAGAGTAAACTTCAAATTAAAATTTGATATGCACGTGTGTTCCGGCCATAGATCATGGCCGGAATTATTTTTGAATAGTTTGAATCCTTTAATCCGCCACTGATTGTGACCTGGAACTTTTCGATTGACAATTGATTTCACTTGAATTCATATCATCCCGTCTTGACTCAAAGGCCGGATGTTTCACTCAGACATTTTGGCCGACAGACTTTGCTAATTCAAAGATTAGATCTTCCTTGAAATTATTATTATTATTATTATTATTATTATTATTATTATTATTATTATTATTATTATTATTATTATTATTATTATTATTATTATTATTATTATTATTATTATTATTATTATTAT